TTAATATAAACCTTTGTAACTAAACCGATAAGATATTAATATTTATTCCAATTTAACAGGAATCCCGTTTACATTCAATGTCATGATACAATGTAATTAATTTTTCCCAGTGTTTTCACTAATGCAATTAATACAGGTGTATTTTTCTCTGCATTATTTCTATTAAAATTATCAAAAACTTGTTTCTTCGATACAACATATTTATATATTTAATAAAGTGCCTATTAGCAGTTTATCAAATGTAAATTAATTCAGTAATTAATCTGGCATAGTGCGGTTAATCAGTTCCGTCAATATCCTGGACAGTTTGAAATAATCTGGTTTCAATCAACGATTGTATAAAAAAGTGTGTACTAATTTTAGAATCTAGAATTGCTGAAATTTTCAAACCATACTTTAGTAAATGGACTCATCATTAAGTGACTTAAGTGACTCATCGAAACAGCACTATACGAGGTATTTGGAATCAATTGCATTATCCATTAACATATGCAAATATTTACATTGTAATATATAACAATATTACAACAATATTTTGAGCTTTTTCAGCCTACTGTTTTTAAAATACATTCTTTCTATGTTTTTACGCGTTTACTCAATTTGTTTGTCCTACTTTGTTGTGTGAGTAGGTCGTCTTATTTTTAATATCATGATGATAAATCTGCTCGTTTTATTTTGCAAATAATTGTTATAGTTATTGCAGTACTTTCTATTTAGATTTATGTATCCGATTTCCTGTTTGTATTATTTGTAGTGTTATTATAAATATAATATATTTCAAGCAAAACTATAATATTTTTAATTACTTTATTTGCAAGTGTTAATTAGATTGGCACTAATTTAAACCATATCAAGCTAAGTATTTTTTCTTTGGAAATCATTAATAAAAATTTCATTTTATTCACGATAATATAACAAAGTAATAAATTTACTTAAAATAACGGAATTAATAAAATACTGCTTTTATTTTGGTCGGTTATGACTAACATTTAGTTTTGTGGTTAGCACAACTTCGTCATCGTTTACATTGAGTAAATAATTTAAAATATATTTGCAAGTTCAATTGACAAGGAAGAAATAATATAATCGAAATGAAAACGATGCAATAAATATTATATAAAAGTAAAGTATTAGATCATGTTATGGTAAGTGAAGAGAATGCAGTGCGCAAATAGTTTCGTCGCTAACCAAGCACAACAATAAAAATGAGTCACTTGGTTATGGGCGGATTGCATTTATATTTTGTGTTATTACGTGTACGATGATATAATGGATTACCACTTCAAGTATGTTTACTGGAAATTCATACCATTATATCTTCAATATGAAATTATATTTCTGTTTCTCTAATTGCCTATTAAAGTTAAGTTAAAGATAATAAATATAATTTATTCAAATTAAATTGATTGAGTAAAAATAAACAACAACAATAAAAACAACACTTTCATTTAACATACTTCCGCTGTAAATGTTTAAGAACATTCCATGATTACCATAGTGATAAACCATTTGCAACTAATGTCATATTGAACAAAAAGTAGAAAGTGGTTGCAAATTAAATGAAACTTTTATTATTTACATATACATACTGCAATTGCAGATGTTAAATTTAAATTTGTGTCATTTAAATTATACTTGCATATAACATTTTCTTTAAATAACAATTTGTATTCGTATTATACAAAATTAAAAGAAAAACTAATTTATCTTTTTAAGATGACAAGAGAATTAATAAAAATGAAGTGGAAGTAAAGCAGTACCTCCTCGCATAGTGCGGCTTCGATCATTCCGGATATAGTAAAGATAGTAAAATTTCAAAATAAAGTATTTTTGAATTGAATGTTAATTAAAATAAATTATTAAAAAAGCTAGTTAGAGAAGCTCGTTTACACAGATAAGAAAGTTTTCGGAGGGTTGTAACACAGCCATTCACAATGGCGGTATTCCAACCAGGTACGGCCCATTTTAGCCTGTAGTAGGGAAATTCCAGGAAGGACAGACTATCTAGGGTATATAAGGGCTAGCACTAGTACGATCAGTCTCTTCTTTCGAGTTTCGCTGTCTGGTAAGGTTCTCTGTAACACTCTATACCAAGCGCGGTTCGTGCATGGTTATGTCCATGGACGGACCGAGCTTGCTCTGTATTGTATCTCCTATTTTCTGCGTAAATACATTCCTGTGTGAGTACCTCCATTGTGAAACCCTGTGTTACCACCCTCCGAAGACTCCTATCCGTGTAACCAAGCATCTCCAAATTGTTGACCCCGACGTGATGGACTCCAAACTGCTTTCGAGGATCAAACGCATCAACAAATTCGATATGAACTTTGGCATGATGAAGTTCTTCTTGAGCGGGAAGGAATTGTCTCATCTACCGTTGGTGGAGAGATACCTGAATCGTATCGTCAAATCCATAAAACACCTGAGGTAGGACACCAGGAAATCGTGCGTTGAATGACACCGGAAATGCTTCCACCACGAGAAGCAATTTCAATCTTTAACATCAAAGTAGAAGTTTAGCAATCCGAACCTTTTGGAAGACCCGAAATTCGCCGAAACCATCATTGATCATTACGGAGAGATTGTTAAACAGTTTCAAAGCTTTTAGCATCGTGTAGTATTGATCCGAAAAGAGATCCGCGTGCGTTTCATCGCTCAAGTATAAATTGTCTAAATAAATGTCAATTTTAATAAATTGTCTAAATAAATGCCAATTTTAACTTGGGCGGTCCAAAACGCACGAATCTCGTTTCTGATCGATACTACACGATGGTAAAAGCTTTGAAACTGTTTGACCATCTCCCCGAAATGATCGTTGATGGTTTCGACGAATTTCGGGTCTTCCCAAAGGTTCGGATTGCTAAACTTCTGCTTTGATGTTAAAGATTGGAATTGCTTCTCGTGCTGGAAGCATTTCCGGTGGCATTCAACGTACGATTTCCTGGTGTACTTCCTCAGATATTTTATGGATATGACGATACGATTCAGGTATCTCTCCATCAACGGTAGATGAGACAATTCCTTCCCGCTCAAGAAGAACTTCATCATGCCAAAGTTCATATCGAATTTGTTGATGCCTTTGATCATCGAAAGCAGTTTGGACTCCGTCACGTCGGGGTCAACAATTTGGAGATGTTCGGTTACACGGATAGGGTCTTCGGAGGATGGTAATACAGAGATTCACAATGGCGGTACTCGCACAGGAATTTATTTACGTAGAAAATATTATAGTTACAGAGATAGCGAAACACGAGAAGAGGCTGATCATGCTTAGATTATATTTTATGAGACAAATTTTCTTCCTGGAATTTCCCTACTAAGGGCAGAAATAGGGCGCACCGTACCGGGCTCGAAAGTGAGCACCACACTTTAAATAGTCATGTCTCTTTTTGTGCGGTTTATTTTTATATGTATTTACAACTTGCTTGATTAGTCCAGTTTGGACCGATTAACCGCAGTAGGCAAATTATACGTTTTTATATTTCACTAATATAGAATTACAAATTACATAGTTCGTGCCTCAAAATTATAACTTTAAGAAAACTAGCAAAGAATCCAAATACTTGTAAACTAGCAACAAAGTCTTCATAAATAGGTCTAGTTTTCTTATTCCTTTCTTCATAATATTTTATGCAAAATTTTCCAGTAATATTGTATGTAGACAGTAGCTTAAATAAAAAAGTATTGTCATATTATAGATATGTATATGTAGTATACATCTCGGTCTCTCTAATTTTATCCGGGATTTGTTAAATTCATGTTTCTTGATATTTTCTTTGTAGATACAAATACAAGAAAATAAAATAATTGTAGAACCAAGACAATAAATTAAATTAACACTTGTTAGTAAATATATCGCCATAATAGATACTTTTCAGCAATTGATAAGCATATTTGCGTATACTATTTAAATTATGTGAATTTTAAATACAGTAGATGCGGTCTTATCTAAAGAATGCCTATAAAACATAAATTAACGTTTTAACTAACGAAATGTGTGATGCTTTATCTCTTAAATTATGCAAGTTTATAGCTATTATAGAATGTTACAAGATCTTAAGAAGCTGCAATTCTATCAATAGACTTTCCACTGTCTAAAATCATTAATAATCAATTCCAGTTGCATACATTTGTGTACAAAGGAGAAGTATTATAATACGCAACAACAAATCGATACATAAATATTTATGCTACAATTGATTGATGCTAAACCGAATTGTAAATAAGAAAACCCAACATTACTCAATATCAAAATTTGCATATGAAATGTCTGACGACAAGCTTGTTCTGTTGACAGTTGATACATAAAACGCTCCCGTGCTTCTCAAAGCCAGTTAAATTAATATGCATTTGTTATTGAGTAATTTTGTATTGCGTCTTTAGTTAATTTTACTCATTACATCAATATTGATAATTCGGATCATTTCTAATTAGAATAATTACCACATTGCGATTAAAATCAATAAACACAATTTCGGAATATATTTGTTTATAATAATTCATTCTGAATTTAATGCAAATTGTATAATTTAATTATTTGATTCATTCTATGATTCCTGATAAATATTGTAGAGTAATATAAAATTCTCCATTAGTCATTAAACATTTTTTTACAATACATAACAACTTAAAGTACATTTTGGAATATTTCGGCGAAATAAATATTTTAAAATTGATAAAAAAATAACCTTATATTAAGATTAAATTATTGACGGAATGTTAGAAACATTGAGTGTCATTAAATTCCCATCATAATTCAAACTTTATATTTTTAGTTGCATTATATAATTAAGAGTTGTTATGTGAGAATTGAAATAAATTCCAGCATTTTGTAGAGATCTATAAATGGGTCAATTTAAAATTGCAATTTGTGGTTTAAGCGCGTATCATCAATTACATTGTTGATTGAAATAAAAGGTGAAACTGTTGCAGTGTATCGAAAAAAATAAACGAACAACCGAAATCGTTAAATACGACCGTAAATGTTAAATGGTACTCACCGACAGCGTGTCTCCATCATGAGAAACTGCCGTTTCGCCAGGATGCCTAAAATTAAATATAAATATGTAATAAATATTTGCATATACAATTCCACACATACGCGACACTTATTTCAAGCGTTACAGACAATAATGATTAACAAAGTAAGAACAACAAATGAAGAGAAGTCAAAGGTGCAAAGCAAAAGCTGTAACAGTAAAAGCGTAGCAAATAGATTGAAAAGAAATAGAAAAAACTAGCATATTGTGTAAAAAAACGTAAATGCATGAAAAGATCCAAAAACCTTGTGTCATATTCATAGTTAATGCCCAGAAGCGCATTATACTCCTGTAGGAATCGAGCGGATTGATGATATCTAATGGCCAGAAATAAATCTGCATGTAACTAATACCATTCAAACTTATTGTAAGTAATAAATAATAGTGAACTAGATAAATCTCAAACCGATCGGTGGAATGCAGCTAGTCACGATACATATACAAACAATTGAATGTGTTTTATTCAACCTTGTAGGAAGTATTGAAGTAGCTTCCTTTGTTATTGTTCCTATTGTATGATTCAACGTCTTTATTTACTCGTGTAATCATACAATGCGAGTTATTGTGTTTTAAATACAATTATAATACTAAAAAAAAATTACCTAAAATGTTGCAAATCTCCATTCAGCCTACTCGTGGTTGGTGAATTCCTACCAAGACTGTTTTGGTTTTTGAGGAGATGTTGCTGTTGCTGAAGTTGTTGTTGCTGCTGCTGTTGCAGCAGTTTCCTAAAACAAAAAAAATCCATCATTAGTTTGAATAGCAAATAGTTTTAACAATTAAAATGTTCTAGTAAGTGCTTCATAAATCCTTTTAGATAGTAAAAGAAAAGTAAACTCGTTTAACAACTTATTCATAAATCATATGGAAAATTATGAGCAATATAAACAATAATCTAGCAATAAATTACATATTTAAATTTGCTTGCAAATCATTTAATAATACGTTACACATTTGGAGAAACAGCTTTTCATTTTAATAAACAACAATTATTTTCTCCCTCGATGTGTTTGCGTATTGACTAAGAACAACAAGTTGAACCCACTGAATGAAAGGATTTAAGTGCATGCGTAATATTTAAATATATACCCGTGTATATCACAATCGGAACGATCAATATACGACACGACTTTAAATTTCTTTGGAATTTGAGCGTGCAAGAAATAATGATTGTTGTGCATTGTGCGAAGAAGTATAAACCTTCGAATGCAATCAAACACTAAATTATTTTCGCGTTTTTGTTACAAACCGGTGAAAATCGATTCGTATCGAGCGTTACGCAAACTTCGACCGAGCCCGGGGATATGCACTTGTGAATTGTCCAAAGATACTACAAAATTTTATAAGCCCGTGATATGCGCAAACATGCATTCCTGAAACTATAAAATCACCGTCATAGACACGCATTTACTGTCTAAGCTAAGTGATGATTGTTGCTATTTATTATTCGTTTGTAATTAACGTATGGGACTGACATAATTGGTCAAGATTAAATAAAGGTTACAGCGAAATATCATCAACTTTACAATAAATCAAATGATCTGCATAATCAATTATTGTCGGTATGAGAAAAACGTTTAGTATTTAAAGTATGCTGATGTAAACTCGCGCGTGCTTATAGTGTTGCATATCTACCTGTCTATGTCCTGCCTATTTAATTGTTTCATAAGCTCCTCCTTTTCCTTATCTCTAAGGGCGATGGTATCCTGGATCTTCTGCTTCTGTTTTTGGAATTCTTTTAGGAGGTCGCCGTTGAAGCTTTGCTCGAATCCGGAAGATTCTATCGAGACTTGTGGCTGAGGCGGCGAGAGTACAATATTGTGCGCATTTACTGGCCTTTCATTCAATGAATCCCTTCGTGATGATCGAGCAGTTCCTACTGAAGCAGGCGATTCCCGCCCTTTATTATCGGCTGCTTTGTTGTCGGGACTTCGAGATTTCGGTCGCACAGGGGTTTTCTTTTGGTTGGGTGTACTTGTCTGTTCTTGAATGGCTGGTAATTGTTGGAACTCGGCGTAGGAATTGCTGAGGAACACTTCCGACTCGTTCTCGAACAGCCTGTCCACTGATGAATTCATCAGCTTGGAGTTTTTCATTCCCGTTAAATGGAAGCTGGCGAAACTGGATCGCGACATGGAGTTGTTCACATTTATGTCTCCGGTACTGAGGGCCATTACCCTGGGATTCTCGGAATTACCATACGACATGGCATCAAGGGTGGGCATCAATGATCGTGACATTACGTCTGCCGCGGATCGTGGCCTGGTGAAGGGCATCGCAGAATGCGGAAACGTTTTCGGCTTTATAGGCGTCACTAACATGTGCTCCGTCCAAGAGGTCTCTAATGAAGGCCTTTCCAAGCGCTCCACATCTACGTTCAATGTTCTCTGTTCGAATGGCACAGAGAATATCTCTGGCGGTATGCTTTGGAGCCATGACAATAAACTCAAATCGGAATCGCTGAACCCGACGCTGCCGTCTAATAACCTCGAGAAGCTCATGTCTTGCGACTGCGTCTCTTTCACTCCGGTTGCTTTGGCTTGACAGAAATTCACACATGACTCGTACAGTATTCCCTTAATTACTAATTGTATTAGCCTATCGTTCTTTGCGCTTGTGTTCGGACTTGGATCCACCGTTTTACCAGGCAGGAATTCTGCGACCAACGGATAAATATCTCTAAAACATTGGACACGGGCGTTACTCGGATTCCAGTCCTTGTAACTCATGTGATCCGTGAGCCTGGGTAAGGTGAGTAACAGGCACATATTGGAATGATCCTCCTTTGATGGTGCGCACTTTTCTAATTCATTTAAGACCTTAACGACTTCCTCTACTGCATTATCTACATTGTTACCGTGAACATTTGCCTCTGACTTTATACATAACAACTCTATATATTTGTGCTTAAGTATTGTATATCTAAATTTCTTCATCTCGAACGAGTTTAAAGCCCCCAGCGGCTGGATGAATTCCAGCACATCGTCCCATTGTCCATCAAGAATAAGCTGCCGCAAGAAGAGCACATCGTCCGAATATCCGCCATTTATCACACCAGTCTCTCTTTCCAAGCTGAGCTGGGTTATGTGTAGCTCCCGGTTGTGCAGGAATTCCAACGTCAGCCGTACGACATCCTCCTCACGGAGCGTCAGCCGAGCCGACGGCATTACGTATCGAATCTTCAACCTGAAAATTGAAACCAAATTCAATAACATAGAAAATTCAATAACCACCATCGTACATCTCATATCACCAATATACTTAACTAAATAAAATTGTAATGGAGATGGAAAGGATAAATAACGAAACAAATGTCAATATTATTCGCTTCAGTTAATAATCGTGTACTTCTTCATCCAATAACCCAATAATATTTGAAAATGTACATAGAAAAAGATAGGTCTTCCTGCCCGAAAAAAATACAATTTATTTAAATTTTCCAATAAGTAGCAGTATTCTGCAAGTGCGTTTTGAAAATAAAAGAGTGAGAAATATTCTTTCTTTGTTCAAGCTTCTATGTTAAAAGCCGTGGCTACTAAAACAGCGTGAAGCTAATGTATAAATTACATACAGCCAGATGTATAATTGCATATAAAGCAGCAGTCTTTGGCACGCACTAATGCGTACAGAATAACTTTCGAGACAGATAATGCTAACCCAGAAAAAAAAAATCAAGATTTTTTTTGTACCATGTATCTAACAATTCTTGCAAAAGGCCAATGGAAAGAGTTGAAATGCAAAGAATCAATATTACTTCACCATTGTTCTAAACGTTGAATGAAAATACTGCAAGTGTACTTCGCTCTAATAATGAAAAAATCTCCAAGCGCACTCGAGACTAGCTTCCATATCTCGTTTCCGTTCTGCAGTAAATTCTAAAAATATAGCCTCCGTTCCCTGTACATTACTTTACTTAAAACAATCCCTTTTCTTGACTAATACTGGAGGTTTCTTTATAGAGTATTGTGTACTTTTCCATTGTTAACGGAATCCGAAGAAGATTTGATCAATTGCACAGATGTTCTTATTCACAATGCTACATAATCAGTTAAATTGTATCGAATTGCAATTGTTTAGCTCGGCCAATTTTAACGGTGCTCCTTTTTTATTATTATTCTGCACACGGTATATTATTATATGCCTCTGCATCATGCAACAATGAATATACTCCATTTTTTTCTCTTACTGTCTTCCGTGATATTATATAAGTCATTTTACGAACCATTTATATGCCAATGGCAGGAATATTTCTTCAACCGCATTCTCGTTTTTAGATGACTACAGAGCAGCGAATGTGCTATGGATTTTTTTTAATGTTTACTGAGAGGACCGCGCACCGTATATTACGCAAAATGTAAATAAAAACCCTGTATTGTAAAGTCAAATCTCATTTTATGCAAGCGATGCAAAATATCAACATAAAGAATTTCAATTTCGTCGATGTAATGCTACAAAAAGCATATTGAAAATATATGCATACATACATTGCTTCATAAGTTGTATATACTAACTTTGTGCATGTTTTTGGTATGATCTAATACTTATTTATAACTTGTTCTTATTTGAACATTTCATAATTAAATCGCAGATTTATATTTTTGGCTTTTATTCAAATGTTAAATATTATTAATATTAATTTCCAAATGTTCTATACAGAGGATATCAAAACAACATGTATATTGACATATGATTTTAACGTATAATATAGATAATATTGAAGTTAATTGATGCTGTCATGACTTATTTATCACAAAACTTTTTTGATTTTGAAAACTGGTTAATATAAGTAATTACAAAAATTAGTTCAACATAATCTTGCATTTTAAATCGATATTAATAGAAAAATTAACATCATCATTACAATTTGTATTAAATTATAAACAGTGATGAAAAAATGGTATACTTTTAATATTTCAATAAAATTTCACATTGTCTCGAAATGCAGGTTAAATGTGGACTACTTACAACAAAATCTAGCTTACAATAGTCTAAATTAAAACAAAGATAAAAATGTATTATGCAATAAAAAATATGTATCTCATATAATAGATGTTTCATATATATAACCAAATGGTTATTTGTTATAATTAAATAATTATTTCTCAGAAATTTCAATGAAAATATAAATTTCTGATCTAATTCCTTTCAATGTAGAACGCATATGTGGAAAATAAACGCAAAAACTACCGTTACTTTTTATTTTTTGAGACGCTATGTGCCTTTGTACCCTTGAATACATAATATGTACAGCACATTTTGTACTGTGCAACGCTTTGTTCCGATGAAATGCATGATTCTGACGAGTTCGTTGGCCAATTAATTCGTGTAATCACAGCATGATCTCGTCCGATAATACAACTATTCTTTAAGAAACCAACCAACATTTTGTATGTTAAATTATTTCTGTTGAAACGAAAGTTCAACAGCAACAGCTTAAATTTCTGTTACTTGTTGCAAGCAGACATAGGCCGATAAACCAGTTGATTCCGTAATAATTCATTATAACTATTAAATTTCTTTCTCGTTTTCGAAGAAGAAAACACTTTTCACCGCGAGAAATTTTCAATGAGAAATAACGATGTTTTATTGGAGCGGCGCAGGAATCTATAATTTCTTTAATTAATTGATTCAATTAAGTTCCATCCATTGTGAATGATCGATGCAAGCTGTCTACGTTATTTTCCCACGTGTTCCTTATTATTACTGTTATTGCCATTAAATTGATTTTGTACGAAATGTGTGTGATTTTTTTTTATAATTGAATATTTCTTGATATTTTTGTAGTTATGAAATTCTAGAACACATTTAGAGCCAATTTCACACCATTCAGTAATTAATTAATTTCACACCTAAATATGACACATCAAATTGGCACAAAAGTTACTTGAGTTACTTGAGTTCTTAGTTATTTTTCAAGCGAATTGAATAGGATGAAGTATTAATATGAACTCGGAGTAATTTATTCTCGGATGCTTAACAAGACAAATCGTGCAACGCTTTTCCAGAACATACTTATTCGCAGGAGTGCCCAAACGCTGTACTTCGATGTAACATGTTGTGCCATCAAAATAACGGTAAAACGTAAATTACAATAGCATACATACATATATTCTTATAAAGAAATTGCATAAAATACTCAATCAATAGCATAGTTTCATTGAGATGAAATATCGTGAAGTCTTAAATGCAATACGCATATTTGATTTAGAGCGAAATGTTCTAATAATATTAAAATTTGTATATAATACTCATCCACAAGTTTTATATCTATATAAAGTGAAACCTCGCTTAATGAGTTTAATCCGTTCCAAAATATCCGGATTTTTACTCGTATAGTGAAACATATTCAAAAATTCACATAATATGTGTACACAAGTTTTAAAAATGATGTATCAGGCGCACAATCCGAGAGTTTTCTTCTCCTCATCACTCGTTATGCAAAACGTCGCTCGTTAAGCGAGTCATTTTCCTTACAATTCATTTTGCTTGTTATGCGAGGTTCCACCGTATACCCAAAATGTATCTAGAGATGGTTGTACAACCATTGTACCATATGCCAAAGATAACTTGGATCTTATCCAGCTAAAGCAATTGGTAAATGTGTTTTGCGCATTCCAAAAGACCTAATCATAGAAGATTTACTTATAACATTTCCTTTATTTTTAATTTACACAAATTTAAGTAATATGTAATATGTTCATATTAATAATAGAAATGATATATCTATATTTGTTACAGGATGTTAAAAAATACTACTTAATAGCATGGATATTTATATTCTTAAACAAAAAGCAGTTACAAATGGAATAAGTGTGTAATTATATTCTTAAAAAAATGTCTTAATGATTGCATTTTTTAAGAATATAATTACACAAATTTTTGCTAGTGACCAAATATTAATTATATAAATCAAAATAGCAAGAGTAGAATTGACATAAGGTAAGTAGCCTAGTTTAGACGATCAAAGTTAATAACAAACAGAAGTGATGCAAACATTTGTATACTATGGATATTCGATTTTAAAAACACTTGTATCAAAATATTATATTTTGAAAATTACTAAAAGATAATGGAAAATTGCTAAGGAAATCTACAATTATTGCAAAATGCACAGAATAAACTAAAATGCGCTCTCATTAAATAATAATAGTAGGTGACATATGTAACTTACTTGAAGGCAACAAACATTGATATTTCTTCTCAAGATATTTTCAATATATAAATTAAATTTTCTTTATTAGTAACTATTATTCAAGTATAAATAGATAATTATAATTTTATTTGCATGATGTCATTTTTTTATACATAACCACGCAACACCCACGAAAAGAATGTACATAGTTACTCCTAATTATATTTACAGAATATGTTTGCACCAACTTAATTATATAAAGTGCTGTGATTATTTTCACTTCAATTTTATTTTTGCTTAACATTTATTTTCAATTTGCATTATTTCCAGTTATATAGAAATATAACGTATTTATGACATTCAGTTGCTTATACATATGTTACATTTTATTGCAAATAGTTTGTGGCATGTCTTTACATAAATTAAACAAACATATAAAGTGGAAGAAGTTGAGGTGAATGCACTGTTTTAAATTCTTGAATTGTAGTTATTAATTTATTATACAATTACTTTATTTTTACTAGTTACAAAATGTTAATACAAGTCTCCTTTCATCGTGTTATAGTTGTATTACATTGTAGATCTAAATAAAGATTAAAATAGTTCTTAAATTATACTAACACCAAATTAACTTCATAAATAAATTTTAATTCTTAGAAAAAAAAGTGTAATGTATTTCATTTTCAACTAAGCTTATACGTTCAAAAAGTTCCCACATTTAATTTACTACAATTTAAATTACATGTTTATATAAACTCATTTTTCATTTAGTGTAAAAAATAAATTTAACAAATTGTCACATTATAAACCTAGGTAACTATTTCAACTAGACATTCCTTATGTAATTCAATTGGAATTCATAAATAATATAATAAGCACTAGTCATTTTTTTCTTTAATGTGATTATATAAAAATGTTTTGTTTTTTAATTGTTTACATGTGACTATCATAAGATTTTTTTACATTTTTTTATCATCTTTCATATAAAAATCGATGTTTAATGAACTTGATTATGTCATTGTTGGAAATATTAACATCACTTTTTTAACACTAT